TAGGCTCTTTTGGCATTCAGAATTTCTATTGAAAAGTCAGGTGTTATTCTAATGTGACTGCTTTCATATGTAATTTGGTCTTTCTCACTTTCATAATAAACTTTTTTTGTTTTGAACATTTAGTATTTAGTTATTATGTGTGGTAGGGAAGATTGTTTCTCATCCTATTTGATGATCATCTGTACCTCAATAGGCTTTTCTTTCTTTGATTGGTGAAACTATTTTTCAAAACTATATTCTGTGCCTTTGCCCTGTATTTCTTCTCTCTTTTCTATCCTATTATTCATAGGTTTTGTCTTTTTTATAGCATCCCCAATTTCCTGAATGTTTACTGCCTGAATTTCGTTTTAGATTTAGCATTTTCTTTGAATAAAATATCTTTTTCTCCTACCTTGTCTCCAAGACCTGGAAATCTATCTTCCATGCCTTGTAATGTGTTGATGAGCTTATCCTTAAGGCTTTTATTTGACATGCTAAGGTTTTCATTTCCATTTTATCTTAGTTTGGGTTTCCTTTAGTGATTCTATTTCTTTATTAAATATACTTTGATGTCTTGAAATATTTTCATTATTTCTTCAGCAGTTTGTGTTCTCATGATCTTCATTAAGGCATTGAATAGTATCTTTGAAGTCCTTGAACATATGTGTAATTGTTATTTCAAAGCACTAGTCTTATGTTTCAGCTACACTGATTTTCTTTGCCTAAATAGGGTTGCTGTCTTCTTGAAGAGGCATGTTGTCTTGGTTGTTTACATTTGTATTTTTGTGCTGGGATCTAAGCATCTGGAGTTATGATGTTTGAGGTGTTTCTTGATGTAGGTATCTGGTCTTGTCTTTTTGGATGGGTGTTTTGCTCTTTGGTTGTCATTGCCCACTCTGGATCATAGGCAAATGTGATGGCTGGCTGTGAGGTACCCAAGAGAGAGTGTCTCTTCAGGTCTTTAAATGATACAAAGGAATGGAGATAGCTTAGAAGTCAAGGTTGAGAGGGGCAACAAGAAGGAACTCATGGAATCCTGGGTCCACACCAAGAGGCAAAGTCCCCAAGGAATGGAAGTGGAGTGAGAAGTGGGCTCATGGAGGGTACAGCAGGATAAAAATAAAGTCTGGGAATACTGGGATGAAATAGCTTGTGGGTTTTCAATAGAGAACTTTTTACAATGTCTTGGTATTATCTGATGATGATTTTCGGCAATGGTGCAAAAAACTTCATCCTTGATTAAAAGTACTATTTAACAGACTTAAATAAAACAGTCTTTGTTACTGGTCAAAGAGCCAAGATCTCATCTTTATTCCAGAGGTGACATGCTACTCATGTAAACCACGAAAAGCATTTGGGCAATAACTAGATTTCAATGTTCTGTTCTTTTATTCACTCAGAGGATTTGAAAATAAACAAACAAGTAATTGAAAAGAACTGGCTACAAGTTTTAGAGGTTGAGGAACAGTTTGGAAAGACTGTGAAGGTAGTGAGCACCTCTGAAAGAGTGTACTCTAAGTTAGGGCCTTGAGGGTCTAACCTAGGGAATGTGAGTGTTCCCTACAGGTTGGGCTTTCACACATACTTGCCATAAGACTACAGGGTAGACAGTTCTGGAAGCAGCTTGTGGCATCAGAGGGAAAAACTTGACTTGGAGAATATTTGTACTTCCTTCAGAGGAGGCAGCTTTGCTAGGAACTAAGAAGAACTATCAGCGGAGGAGCTCTTGCAATGACCTGAGACATAGGATGTAAACCACACTGAGCAAGATGCTGACTCCCCTCAAGTGTGTAATGTATGGGAGTGTCAGAAGTGGACTTCCCTAATCCCTCTAACCTGTTACACGGACTTTGTGTCTAATAAGTTTTCTTAAATGCAGCACACATGGGCGAGTTTATTCTGGAAATTTAGAAATCGGGGATCTTTTAAAAAAATGGAGGCAGAGGCAGGTGGATCTCTGTGACTTTGAGGCCAGCCTGGTCTACAGAGCGAGTGCCAAGATAGGCTCCAAAATAATACAGAGAAACCCTGTCTCAAACAACAACAATAACAAAAAAAGACTCTAAAGAAAATAGGAAATATTTATGATATTTTGAAATGAGCTTCCTGTAAACATTTGATTTTGAAAAAATATTTTCACTTGACTCAAGCTATACTTTATTATGCAAATCAAATGGAAATTGTAGTGATTATCCTGTGACTTTATGCTGTGTTAATTTAGCTATCTCACGCACCAAATTGCCAATCTCCATATATATACATACAAACATATATACATATATATATATATCCCAAAAGACTTTTGAACATATGGAAATGCTTTTATGAATTATACTTATATCAGGATATAAAGTGATTTTTCACATTAAGATGGTTTAGGATTTTATTTGGCTATGAGCATCCACCCAGAAATCACCAAAGACTATTCACATAAGATTTTATCTTCTAAAGTCTGGGGATAACAGACCAGAACTAGTATGGAAGTTTCACAGATGGTCCCAAGAGATCTTTCCTTATAGCTTTCTTCTTTGTCATTCCTTGGTTAAGATCCAGAATGACTGATGGATACCAATTGCAATGCTGACTCTGTGTAATGGGAACAGGAGTATAAAAGATTGTCCCAAGAAGCTGTGTAAATGACTTCCACTAATGCAGTGTATAAGCTGTGTAAGTGTGAAGGGACACTAGAAAATGTATTCCATAACTCCATGAGTCCAATGGAAATGTGAGATTCTACTTTTGAAGAGGAAGAAGCAAGACCTAATGTCAGTGGGTAACGTTTGCCTCACTTACACAGGAGCTTTGAGTAGGCTCTGTGTCCAGACAGCTTCTTTACCTCTTTGTCTATCACTTGCTATATTCTAACTCTGGTGTGGAGTCCTGAAACTTCCCATGCCTGGAAACGCCTTTGCTTCATATAGCCCTCAGAGGATTGGAAAGTTAAATTTTAAAATCGTATACCTTCAAACAAGACAATGATTTCTAACTCACCCACAAGAGACCTTTAAAGATTTCTTCTTTTTGTTACAATATGTAAGGCCCAATCTATGTTTACTTGTTCCTGATTTGTGAGTAGGGAAATCCACAGGGGAAAAAAACACCAAAACAATAACAACAACAAAAACCAAGATAATGGCATATGGATCAGAGAAGGGAAAGTGATGTTGGGGAGACCATGTGATTCAGGAGGTTGTGGTCTTCTGAGACTAGTGGTCAGAGAAGCACATAATCCACAGAGCCATGGCCTAGATCGGAGGATCAAAACCAGAGACACTGGTTAAAATTGCCTTGAGTAACTACAGCAGAGCCTGTGCTAACCAAAATGTACTGAAGCCTTTGACTATAGCTATGATAATCCTGCAGTGAAAGATTAAGGTTTTCTAAGATTGGTTCCCCCCTCCACACTCCTTTTTAAGAATTATTTTTATAAACACACTTGTGGTATTTTGTTTATGGCCTAACAAATAAAGCTTGCCTGAAGATCAGAGTGCAAATCTAGCCACACTAGTCAGCCATACAGGCCAGGCAGTGGTGGCACACACATCTTTAATCCCAGCAGCCACTCTAGTTAGCAATAGAGACCGATAGGTGGTGGTGTACACCTTTAATACCAGCATTAGAGAGGAATATAAGATGGGAGGAGACAGAAGTCAGTCTGCAGTCATGCTGAGGACAGACAGGATCACCCCAGCCTTAGTAGAGGGATGAAATCTTTAGGGATTGGCTGCTTTGCTTTTCTGATCTTCAGCTTGAACTCCAATATCTGCTTCTGGGTTTTTACTATTCATGCTACACAAATTATTTGGGGTATAATGTATTCTGGAGTTTGGCTGGTTGTCTTGGGAAATCTAGTCTTCTGGGTTAGGAAAATAATGTATTTTCTTGGTGACAAATTTTGCTTCTCTGTCCGGGGCCTCCAGAGTCCTGATTAGCTAAGTTTCTATGGTAACAATACTGAATCCTTAGCTCACCACAGTCTCCCAGCTCCTAGGAAAAAAAACTTCCACTTCTAAGGTCCTCTAGATGCTATCCACCATGCTTCTGCACATGGTCTAAGTATATATTATAATTTCCAGATGATCTCTCATAGTAATAATTGATTGATGAGTACTGAGTTGTCCTTTGGATGATGTTTGAAGACCTCAAAGATCTTTAGGGTTTTCTTAGGGAAGTTAAAAAAATACACCAACCTTCCCATGGCTAAGAACTGAGCTGAACTCAAGAAAGCCAGCAATAGAGAGGGAGGACTGATGACCAAAGGGATTAAGACTGGGCTGGTTTAACCCACAGAAACAGCTGACCTGACAAAGGTTAACTTTTGAATCCCAGGCATCAGCCTGGGAATCCAGCATGGGACTGATCAAGACCCCCTGAATGTGGATGTCAGTGAGGAGGTCTAGGTAATCTATTGAGCCTTGGGCAGTAGATCAGTACTCATCCCGAGTATACACATGGACTTTGGACTCCCATCCAACAATGTGAGATGCACTCTCACCCTGAACTCTTGGGGGAGGGTCTAGGCCCTGCCCTGGATGAAATGACAGACTATGGACACCCCCATGGAGGGCCTCATCCTCCCTGGGGAAATGAGGGGATAATGGGGGTTCGGGGGAGGGCACAGGAGGAGGGGAGGGAAAGGAAGAGGGACCTGGAACTGACTTGTGAAGCAACCTTGTTTCTAACCTAAATTTAAACTTAAAAATAAATAATAAAAAAAGAAAAAAATATACCAACCCTGAAAGGGTTAAAAAGTGGAGAACAGTGAAGAGTTAATACCTAGTTGAATGAGCACTTCCAATTTTATGGGAGAAACAAATTGATAATTATTTACCAACAACAAACAGAAATTGCCATTTTCAGATACTTGTGGTGGAATGGTGGCTATGAGTTTTTTTTATGTTTGAAATGTCAACTGGAGTCAGTAATTAAAGTCAGAATATGCCTTAGTAGGGAAGCATTTTAGTGCCTGACCTTGCTGTTGATTAATTAATTTTTCTTGTATGTGACTTCTATTTCTCCAGAGGTGGATATCAGAAGCACAGGAACAGATGTCCCAGGTTGTTATAAACAGAGACTTGGTGCAAAATAAGAAAAAGGCCTTAGTAAACAAGGAAACAACATGCCCTGGGATTTTGGAAAGGTACTCATTGTCTCTTCTTTTGCTTGTAGAACCTACAAATTTCAAGAAGGGTTTATATTCACTGGAAAGAGGCAGTTAGCCCCAGTAATGTGCCAAGGACTGGGTCACAAATGTTTTGCTTTCTGTTTGAAACATGACTAGAAATATTGCTTGCCAGCCAGAATTAGGTAAGTTGTCATCGATTAAGATGAGTTGCTCTGCTGTTCTTGCAGTCTGCGTATTTTTAAGTCTGATTCTGGGGGGATTGCAGGTATTTTTTTGTGTGCATTTCTCCAGAGTCTTGAGGGTAGCGCTATGTGTAGCCAAACCTGCTGTCCTACACCAACCAGAATGCCCCTCCAGAGAAGTATACAGAGTAGTCTTTGTTTTGTTCTGTAATTATTGGAAAGTGCATTTCAAAGTAATGACAAAATATTAAAATCTCTTGGTTTATTTTAGTTTCCAAAGTATATAAATACTATACACTTTAAAAAGATTCTAAAAGTCATTGGCTCCAAATTAGTTCTGAATAGCTTTGAAATGTCAAATATAGTGGAAGTCCTATATATTTCTTAAAAGACATTTTTCATACAGGGATCCTGAGTTGCCTCCCACCGGCTTTCGGGATGTTTTTATGGGATCCCCACCAGTTCAGATAAAACCGTAAGTTGTCCCTAAACTGCTGCTGATTGTACAAAATGTTGATTCAACAGTTTTGATTGCTGGGGTCACCAAAATGTCCTTTACATGATGTTTTACTTTCCTTTAACAGCAGAGTTTTGTGCATAAAGAGGCATAGAATCAATTAACAATAATGACAACACTAACAATATTGACCACAACAAATAAAACAGCACTTACTTATGAATTCTCCTACTCTCTAACATTCACTTGCAATCTTTAAATGATAGCAGGATGTCAATGCTTATATTGCCAGCACTTGGGATGCTGCGGTGCACGTCTTGTGAGTTCCAGGGTAGCTTGAGTTACATAGTGATACCTTTTTTTCAAAACAGAAAAAACAAACATTCACTGCAAAAATAAAACAAAACAAAGCAAAACAAAACAAAAACACAAAGCTGTTTTGGGAATTCTTTCAGCCAATGGTCTTTGAGGTACCCGCCCCTTGGGGCAGGGCTCATGTGTGGACTGGGAGCAGGTGCTTGCACGCTCTTAGGTGGTGGTCGGAATTGGATGGCAGCGTCCAGCGGCTAAGGGTAGAAGACCTTGCTTTGTCATTTGTGAATGATTCCCCAATAAACATCTAATTTCCCTTTATCTGGGCTTTTATGAACCCTATTACAATTGTCAATTACATTTTGGTGACCAACGTGGGGCCCAAATCCACGACCCTGATATTAAGAGTCTTATACTCTACAGGCAAGGGGCGGGACTCAGATTCTATTGGCTGAAAGAATTCCTGCAACAAAAAGCAGATAAAATCATCTGCGGCTTGAGTGAGAATTGAGTCACCTTTGCACACCCTTCTAGCTGAGGTAATAAAAGATGATCCGTGTTGCTGTTGCAGCTCTTACACTATGAATGTGTGTCCTTTTCACAGATTGCTAAATGTTATGCTTTGCTAACTTTTATACAATCTGACAGTCTCATTAAAAATGCTTCCTAAATGTACAGCTGGGGAAGTGTCTTCTTTTTTACTGCAAGAGAGCTCTTGCATACCTTTGGAGGGAAGGAAATCCAAGCATGAGGGAAACTTCATTCAGGCAAGAATTACAGAGTACTTGGTGGTTAAATTCAAGGTACCTAAACTATATATGTATTCTAAGTAAGAAGTCCTTAAGCAGAGACGCTCAAAATAAGGTTGTGTGTTGATCAGTTAGTCAAATGTAACCAGAGGCTTATAGGGACTTCATTCACACCTGTAATCTTGGCAGTTGTGAGGTTTGAGACCATCTGGACTATACAATAAGGCTCTTTCTTTAAGAAAATGGGATAAAACAAAACCAAAACACACCAGAGTACCAGAGGCTTGCAAGAACCTGGTTCTCACATTTCAGTGTTTGCTAATTTTGTGTTTGGGTGTTTGTGGCAGTGTCCTAGAGCATGGCTGTGAACAGTGAGAATTGACTGTACAGTGAACAAGACATGGATATTTTTATGGGCAAAGAAATGTTTTTATTTGAGGCTATTAAAAAGTTTCTGCACCCCAATAAGCCTCTCCATTGACACAGCAATCCAAATCAGACTAAATCAAACTGAATTAGAAAAAGTCTACATTTAATGGATACAATGCTCCCAGATGATTTTCCAGCCCCTCAGAGAGGAGATGGGAAAGAGAGACTGGAAAGCCATGTTTTCTGGGGGACAGTTTAAATACCCTGTGGGAGTGGTTTTGAGCATCTCTGGGGGAGTTGTCATCATTAAGTGGGCTTTCTGAGATGAGGCAGGGTTTGAAGAGAGATAAGGGAGGGATCTTGAGTGAAACTACCACCAGAACATTCCAGACTCTTTGGGTATATGGATGCTGGAGGAGGGGGTGAAGCTTCTGCCAGAATAGCCATGATCATGATGAGATTATAAGTGTCCAGTTATGTATCACAGGACTCACCATGGTAACTGATGTGGGCCTCGTGTCCACTCTGCTGGATGCTTTACTCTGTAAATTTTCGTGAAGTCAGGAGCATTTCAGGATTTATTTTTCCTCTTATGTGTGCTAGTCTGCAAAGTCATTATTTGGAGATGTATTTGGAGATGGGGTTGCTTGTCGGGGTCCTCTGATTTTCTTGGACTTTCTTTCTCTTACTTTGTTTTGTAACACCTTCTGTCCTTTCTTTTGAATTCACCTTTTGTTTCTCTTGTGTGTCTGGAATAACTATTTTTCTTGTTTCTTCCACTTGGACATGTCCTGTTTTCTCCAAGAGGATTTCTTTTTCTTTCCATTTTTTATTTGTGAGTTGTCTGTCTATCCTGGAGGCATGTTTCTAGACTGGTAGTCAGTCTTTGGTCATTTATAGACATGATCAGTGGTGGGACTCAAAGCCTTGAGACTTTCTGACAGGGAGATTCACAGGAGGGGACTATGCAGATCATTCTCTCAAAGCAGCATCATCAGTCAGATCTCTAGTGGAGGATCCCAGTCTTTCAGGTAATGGGTAAAAGGCTTTTGTCCTTGAAGCAAGGGTAATCATGCTGGGAAATCATTACTAAGTCTACCCTTTAGAGTCATAGGATTATGCTGTTAGTAAGAGACTTTCTCCTTTACCCTTTCTAGTGAATGGGTCTCCTGCTGAGGAGGCATGAGGCAGTTACCCTACTGTGATTTGGGAGGGAGTCAGGGATTAAATTTACCACTGAACAAATATTTCCTCCCAACTCCTATTGTCGACTTCAGATTAACTTTTCCAAGCCAGGTTCCTTTTCTTTTGAGCGCTTAAAGGTTGTCTCTCCCATTTCTTATGTTCTCTGTGTTCTTGTGGGCTCTAATTTCTAAAAATATTCTAAAGATAAAATTTTTAAAGTATTTTATTTGTTGCTATTGTAATATAATTACATCATCTCCCTTTCCTTTTCCTCCCTCCAGACCTTCCTATATATCTCTTCTTGCTCCTTTTCAAATTTGTAACCTCTTTTTCATTAATTGCTATAACCTGTATACATATATATGTATTTATCCATATGTGTGTACATACACATTTGTATATGTACATACACATATATTTATGTATTTAGGAATACATATTTAGGAAGTTTTAATGGAGTCTTGGAGGAAGGAGGACTGATGTGCATGTTCAATTCTTAAGTCATGCAGTCTTTTCCTGAAGACCTTCTTACACTGTCCCCCTTGTTCCCATGACCAGGTTCTGTCGCTCCTTTTGGATATCCATAGCACTCCACACCACTTTTGTCTAAACATGGTTCATCTTTGTGTGTAATGATTTGGAATCCCGTCTTTCTGAGTTCCATGGTCTGAAGGGCAAGGCTTCCACAGCGCCATTCCCTTGCATTCTGGAATGTGAAGCTCCTGATATGTTGTAGCTGTAACATAATTACGTCTTCAGCAAATTGTTTATCTCTAATGTTCAACTGCAAATTATAAGGAAAAAGGAATGCCAAATCCCCTATCTTATTTGATTTAGGGATTCAAGGACTGTAGATGCAAAAGCATTTTAGTAAATGCTTTTGAAGACAAGTCTTTTAGAAATCAACACTTACTAGTTTGAATTGCAAGAATTACTTGCTTGTGTAATTTGATTTGTGAGGATGAGCAAGGAAATAAACATATGTGCAACTCCATCCCTCTTTAACTAATTCCATATGTAATTCTTCCTTTCAGTGAACGTATATTAATTACAGGATGCCACAAAGTAGAATCCTGTGGTAGCTTGAAATCTTCTCTCTTGAATATTAAAATTTCTTTTGCTGTTTGCTAGCTGTACAGCTGTGGAAGTTAAATGTCAACTTTAAAAGGCAATGAATAAGAATGAGTTTGCTCAATGGACCAAAATAATGTGCCTCAGCTTATAAAAGTAAAGCTGTATTCATAATGTAAATTTAAACTTCATGTTACCGCTTAAGGAAAAAAATTAGAAAGTGGGTATAGGCTTACTATTTGGGATCCATTGTTGCCTTAATTTATAGATAATAGCATTTATATTGTAATGGTGTTAGACTGTCTACTTCATTTTCTTATAACTCAACCTGTGGCTGCTATATCACTCTGCGCCAATATGAAGGAAACACTATTCATAAATTGGTAACAGATACCTCAGTGAAACACTGAAGAACAACTAAAGTATTTCGTGCCACTGTCTTGACACGTCTGACTTTAACCAAGGAAAGAGACTCCATAATAATGTCTTCTTCACATGCCATGAACTAAGGAAAACGGGGGAAGTTGTACTAGAGAAATGTGGTGGCTAGTCTTGATTTGTCCGTTTGATGGCATCTGGAATCAAGTAAAACAAACTTCCAAGCATTCATGTGGGAGATTTTCTTGATCGGGTTATTTAAAGCAGGAAGACCCACACTGAAGTGTGACTGGCACCTGCCAGTGGCTGCTCTTCACTGGTGTGAGAACAGTATCTTTGGAGTTCCAATGTAGACCAAAACTGAGCATCTCTCCAGGAACCCTCCAGTGCTTCAGCTCCATATTGGGACCACTGGGACATCCATGTACTTCATGTACTGAGCAACTATCCAATTCTTGCCCTCTCCAATATGAGACAGCCATTGCTGAACTACCCAGATCACATTCTGTAAAAACAATCTAATAATTCCCCCTTTAATATACATATTACTTCTGTCAGTTCTGTTCCCTTAGAGGACCCTGAGTACAAGAAAGCAGCTAGATAGAAATTAAAATTTATACCAAAGAGATAAACCTGAAAAGACATTCATGGACTTGAAGGCTGAATTAGTGTTTCCCTTGAGATGCAGCGGTACTTTTTCTTACCAGTGAGTTTCCCAGGCATTGGCCATGGTTGGTGGTAGGAGTTTTGAAAATCAAGGATGCTCAAAAGTCTCTTAGAAATCAACAGTGCTCTTTTGCTTTTGGTCGTTGAAACACATCTTGAATATATATATATATATACAGACAGAGAAGGTGAAGACAGTGGTTTGGAGGCACAGTTCCTAAGACACATAGGAAAGAGAATGGAGCATGCCTCTACTGCATATGCTAATTTAAGTTTTTCTTTGCCCTT